TGTCAGGTAAGCCGGGACCAAGATATGAACGGAGAAGGTAAAGGCTGCAGGTTGGATTGTTGGAACCCTTACTGTCGCAGAGCAGTACGCAAAATTGAGAGGACCGTGACTGAAGAGGTATGCACACTGCAGTGTACAAGATCACGAAATTTTCGTCAAGCAAATGCTTTGGTTCCTTCTCTTTTGTCACCCGATCTGCAGACTTAAGTGAAAGTTCAGTCACACCAGTAAATTCTTGGCCATACTATTACCTACATCATGAGGAAAAATAGTTGAATCTTAAATGAAGTAAAGCAGAAAGAAATCATACTTACTTCTCTCACCTTTATACAACAAGTTCCACCAGTACATTTGGCAGCAGCATAGAGTATAGGTGATTTCAGCATGAGCACTGAGAATTAAGTAAATCCACCATTGCATACATAGCAGAACACTGAGAGTGACATTGCTAAAAATACATGCAAATAAAGGAACGGGACCGTTTTACATAGATTACAAAATCACAGCTGGCTCAACAACCATTGCCGTTTTCCACAGCGGAAAAGCAGCATAGCCATCCATTTTAGAAAGGTGGCCCCTCAGGTGATGCAGATGCCTTGATTTCAATGGGTATTAGCTGCTCTACTGACAGAGCTGTAATTCTCGCAAATAGGTGTATTTTGATAAATGCTGCAATGAAATTTCCATGTAACTATCTCATATTATTGTTTGTTGGATTCAAAATAGTTTCTGATTTTCAGAATGTCTGAAATATGCGTCCACAGGTATTTCGAAGTCACTCAATCTGGTTTGTTTCCTACAACACATACTCTTTCTGTAGAGACAGTGAAGCGTCATGCATAAAATTGGATATCTTAAGCAGGCAGGAGGGCCTTACGCAAACAAAAAATTCAATTGTGCTTTCCGAGGAGTTAGTCTCAAATTCAACATATCAACTAGTCAACTAAATCTGTCGAAAAATTGATACTTTGCAGGGAGCAATTTCATGTTCTCCTGATATTTGCCTTTCCTTGAAAAGAGAGACAACATCAATGAAGTAGTTTTAGCTTCAAGTGAGATGCTCTTCCCATCAACTTTAGACAAATAATATCCGGCCTTGGCGATCTCACCTTTTGCCAGAAACATTCTGAGAACATCATTTATAAAATGAGAGCTGGGACCTATACCACTCTTTTCCATCGACGAAAGCATATTGTTAGCATCTTCCACTGCTCCATCTTTTAGAAAATTTCTTATCATTACTATGTAAGTAGATTCATTAGGCACCAACCCACTAGCTGATATTGCAGAAAACAGTTCCTTAGCTTCTTCTCTTTTTTGAACCTTGTACATTGCATTAATCATGGTATTGAGTATTGCAATACTAAACTTCACATTCATTGCACCTAATTTCTGGAACAGAGCAATAGCTTCGTCTGCACAATTATTTCTACAAAGACCTCTTAGTATTACTAGCAAATATGCATGTGCGTTGCAACGAAAGAAAAACAATCAAATTATACAGATGTGGTAGAGATAAAAAAAAGTCTGAATCAAATGCCAGGATTTTTTTTAGAAAAGGAGGAATACCCCCGGTCTCTGCATCTGGAGATGCATACGGCCAATTTATTAATAATTAACACAAGACCTTACAAAGTCGTACAATAGTAAGACCAAAGCCACCATCTCAGCAACCTCTGTCGTTACTCCTATCTAACTGATGAAGGGGCGCTGATGGTCTGGGCCTAATACCAAAACAGACCTTGCAGTCAAACCTAACATCTAAGACCTGAGGTCCCAACCAGGACGCCTGCTGGGCAGGGGCACCCACCAGTCCGGCGTGCTCCTCAACCAGGACGTCTGCCGGGTATGAGGCCGCCACAGCCACCTGTCACATATCCATCTTCAGAGTTGTATTGTTGCATCGGCCTTACCTGGTCTCGCTGCCGCCGACGCCACCACGACGCCAAACAGCGTCGACCTCCTACGCGTGTCCGTCACCACACATCTGACGCCAAGCCTCCGCTGCTCCATGCCGCCAAGAGCCGTCGCCAAGAATATGTAGAAAGAAACACCGCTCCACCGAAAGGGAGGCGGCACACCCCCACCCCTCACCTGCAGACCCTCCCATCCGATCCCAATGTCCTTGGCGCCGCCTCCAGGAAGGTTACGGTGCACGGGGTGCCGCTGACGCCCGATCCGCATAGGATCTTGGGCTTTCACCTGGACATGGGTCGGAGTGGAGAGATGGTGCCCTCAGCAGCGCCCCCAAGGAGGAAAGCGGCGCCAAAAGGCGGCATCGCTGCTGCTGGCCAGCCAAAGCGGCCAAGGTTTCCCTCGGACACCAATCTGCTCCACCAGAACACACCGGAGGTGGATCCGGCAAGATCCAAACCGAACCGGGGACTGAGAAGGGATGCATGGAAGGGAGGGGGAAATACCTCCAGATCTGGCACGCCTGCGGCTCGCTGTCCTCACGGCCGAACCCTCAGACACGCCGCACGCCACGCCAGCAGGGGCCGCCGCCCTTGGATCCGATGGCCTCCACGAAGAAGGAGCGCCGAAGACCCCGCCGCCACCTTCCCCGGCGCCCGCGCGGGCTTTCCCGGCGGTCGTCTCCGGTGGCGGCAAGGAGGGTGGGGGGAGGCGGCGGGGGAAAACCCTAGATTCCCCCGAGTCGCCCTAGGGGCGACGCGAGGGACGGAACGAGGGATGAGATAAGGATTTTCAATATGTCATTTCACAAACTATGTCTGAGTGCTGTCATGATGAGAATGGACTTTTAAAAAGTCATTTCAAAAGCTGAAAATGTGACGGTCTCATCACGACTTGATTTCCTAAGGCGCCACGATGAAATATATTTTTTTGTTGAGCAAACTACATTGATGGACCCATGCCTGAGCTAGACTGATGCATGATGTTTCTCGCCTTGACGCGGAAACCTTTTTTACCCGACGCGCGAGGGACTAAATAAAATCATAAAACGACCTCTATAGATCCAGTAATAAAACCTATACCTAAGCGATGGTTCGTTTTGTTCGTTACTTACAAATCGGTTTTTATTTTTGCGGACATTTTCTAAAATTTCATGGATAAAGTTTTCAAATTCCTGAATATGTTTTGAATACACGATCATATTTTAAAAATCATGAGCATTTTTTACTTCATTTTTTTGAAATCTTGCTTTTTTTATAATATGCAAACAATTTTTGAAATCACGAACATTTCATGATTTTCTGAATGTTTTTTGGAGTCACAAACATTTTATGATTTATTTATATATATGTTTTCAGTACTTGTAACTTTTTGAAATTTGAATTTTTTGTAAATCCCGGATTAATTTAAAGAAGGAAAAACAGAAGCAAAAAAGTGAAAGGAAAAAGAAAAAAACAGCGGGCGTCACGACCGGCATATGGACCGCCCCTGCAAATTCACAAACAATTTATGATCTATCTATATATTTTTTCAGTACTCTCAACTTTTTGAAATTTGGATTTTTTTTTTGGAAATCCTGGATTAATTTAAAGAAGGAAAAATAGATTGAAAAAATAGAAAGGAAAAAGCAAAAAAAAGGGGGCGTCACGACAGGCATATGGGACGCCCCTGCAAATTCACAAACAGTTTATGATTTATCTATATATATTTTCAGTACTTGCACTTTTTGAAATTTGATTTTTTTTGGAAATCCCGGATAAATTTAAAGAAGGAGAAAGAAAAAGCAAAAAAGAAGAGGGGCATCACGCCCGGCATATGGGCCGGCCCATTATGGCATGCTATATATAGCACATTTTATGATTTATCTATATATATTTTTAGTACTCACAACTTTTTGAAATTTGAATTTTTTGGAAATCCCGGATAAATTTAAAGAAGGAAAAACAGAAGAAATAAATGAGAAAGAAAAAGGCAAAAAAAAAAAAAGAAGAGGGGCTTCACGACCGGTCCATTACGACCTGCTATATATAGCAGAAAAGGGGATAAAAGGGGATTCAGCATGAATAAAAAGGGCCAATCCGATGACCGGTGGCTTCATGCTTCTAATATATGGTGTATCAGGTTCTATAAGAACCCAATCCGGCGGCGCTTTTGAAAAAATCAAATTGTTTTCTTTACTTTTTACTTATGGGTGGCATAGTGGGTAATTTATGGCAATCTTATGACGAACGACCAGAAGCAATAACCTCTTTATTATTAGGTAGAGAGGTAGAGATACCATATGTGGAAATGCTCACTGTTATTCCATTTTCGGTCATCTCATGAAATATTTTCCTTGCAGCAACAGTTCTCCCAGAATGAAATAACCCATCCAGTATGGTCTCATATGTAACAGTACCGGGCTTAATTCTTTTACTTGCCATTTGTCGAAACAGAGTCAAACCACATCGGTCCTTTTTTCTAGAATAGCCACTAATAAGAGTATTATATGTAACCACATTAGGCTCGTCAACTGATATCATGGAATCAAGCACAATGAGTGCTTCACCCATCTTGCCGACTAAGCAATATCCGTTAATTAATGAACCGAGTGTAATGACATCTGGCCTCTCACCCATGTCTATAACCAAGTCAAAAATAGCATGTGCATCCATAACCTTCCATCTTTGCATAAACTATTTATTATTGAGCTGAAGAAGACAATGCTAGGACGAGGCATACCTTTGTTCATCATTTCAGAAACCAGCTCCTTGACTTTAACCAGATCACCATTTAAACATAAACCCCTAATTAGGGAGTGATAAACAGCTGTGTTGGATTGAACTCCCGTGGCAATCATCTGACTGAACTTGCCCATGGCATCGGTCAATCTAGCCATTCTAGAAAGTGCGGCTATTATAGTGGAATAGGTGACTACGTCGGGACTTACTCCTTTTTCCCACATTTCTGTAAATATGAGCATAGCTTCATCCATCATCCCATGTTTAGCATATGCATCAATTAATATGTTGAAAACATAGCAGTCGGCTACAATACCGCTGCTTTCCATTGAATTACAGAGATCAATCATATCAGCAAAGCATCCTTCAGTAGCATACCCATGAAGCAAAATGTGGTATGAGACGATATCCAGTTTTGTGGCCCTTGGCAGTCATGGATTCAAAAAATTCTGCAGCTTCTTTGCTTCTTCCAAGCTTGCAAAGGGAGGCCAGGAACGAGTTGCAAGTAACAATATCTGGTATAAGACCCCGGCCTGTCATTTCTCTTAACAATTTAGTGGCCTCTTTCAACCGCCCAGATGTGGAATATCCATTGATCATGCAACTATATGTCATTGTATCAGGATGAGCACCATTAGCAACCATCTGCCAAAGGACTAGCTCTGCCTTCTCCATTGCTCTGGCCTTGCACAAAGCGTCAATAATCGAGATATATGTCACCACACTGGGCGCAACATCTTGCTGCACCATTTCATGGAATAGATTGCATGCCTTGCCTGTTTCGCCCTCCATAAAGAGGCCATGGATGACCGTGTTATATGCCACCACATCAGGGAAGCAGCCACCTCCTTCTTTCGCGATCATCTGGAGCAGTTCGAGCGCCCGTTGGCTCATGCTATAGTCGCAGAAGCTCTTCAGAACAATGTTGTATGAGAAGGCATTAGGCACGCAGCCGAGCTCAGACATCCTATGAAGCAGCACATTCACAGCCTTGTCCGTCCTTTTCGCATAGCAGAGGCACTTGAGGAAGGTGTTGACAATGATCTGGTTTGTCTTCAGGCCTTTCATCAGGAAGAGGCTGAATAAGGTAAGCACTAGCTTCGGGCGACGCACACGGCAGCAGCAGTCCATGAGGATGTTGTAGGTGCAAAATGTGAGCTCCGCCACCTACGGGCCGGCTTCCTCTCTGCATACACGGTTGAAGAGAGACATTGCCAGGGCGGGGCCATCCCTGATGCAGGCGCACGGGCGAGGGTGGCAAGAAAGTCGTTCAGGGGGCGGTGATGGATCAAGGTGGCCTTCCGTAGCAATTAGTCGAGCAAGTTGTGTGCGTCTTCGGGCCTGAGCATCCCGGCACGTACGCGCTTCGTGGCCGCGGCAAAGGCAGCATGTGGGGACCAGGAGCGTGAAGGCAACGACTAGGGGGTGGAGGTGGAGGAGGAGTTTCGGCGGAGGAGGTAGAGGCGGGTGCTACCTCTTGAGCACTACGTTGGTTTTCCCTTGAAGAGGAAAGGGTGGTGCAGTAAAGCAGCGTAAGTATTTCCCTCAGTTTTTGAGAACCAAGGTATCAATTCAGTAGGAGACCACGCGCGAGTCACCTCGTACCTACACAAACAAATAAGAACCTCGCAACCAACGCGATAAAGGGGTTGTTAATCCCTTCACAGAGGATCATAGTCCCAGGTAATAACCAGACCGCCTTTATGTGCAGGTGGCTGAAGCTCCGGTGGCTAGCCGAACTGATGGGTTTGGCAAGCTAAAGCGGCAACTTGAAGTGGCAGATGCCGACATCGTGCTTGTCAACAAGTGGCTTGACGAGGCACATGGTGAGTGATTTCTCTGGTGATCATCACATAATAAGAGTAGCATGATGCCAGTATCTTTAATATGTTGTGACTGCAGATGAAGCTGCCACCGTGGAGACCCTTCGGACGGAGCTTGCCTAAGCCAAGGAGCAAGCAAGGAGTAGGAATGCGGCCGCTCTAAAGGCGGCCGAAGAGTTAAGGGCCAAACAGGCCGCGCATTGCGAGAGCAAGGAAAAATAGCCAAGATGGATGTAGAGTTAAAAGATGCCGCTGACCGTTACCAGCTTCTTGAAGAAGAAAACCGGGTGAAGGCGACGGGCCTGGAGAAGGCCCTGGTGGCTGCCAAGGAAGCCCGCTCCAAAATTAGAGCGACGAAGGAGGAGCTGAATCAAGCTGCAGATATCGTGTCTGGGAAGCCCTTCTTGTTGCGGACTAAGTTCGGAGATCCGAAGTATGCTCCTCTGAACCGGCTATGGAGTTCTGCAGACGCCTACATGGATTTGGCTGCAAGTGCTGCTGATGCGGCCGAGTACTTCAAGGATCAGAAAGGTCCCGAAGTGGAAAAGCTGTTTTGGTCACAGTTTCACGCTCCAGTCTGTCCGCTGCTGTTGAATGAGCGATTGGCCGAGTGGGCCGAGCTCCATAGGTTGTCCGGACTTGCCATGAGGTCCGTTGTGGATCACCTGTGGCCGGTAGGGCCAAGGCCGAATAGCTACTTTAGTTTAGTGCAACAATTCCTTGGTGTTGTGCCACGCATCGATGCTGTAAAGAGATCGGTGTGCATAGAGGGTGCGCAGATGGCCCTTGCCCGTGTCAAGACATACTGGGCGGAGATGGAGGCCACCACTGTTGCGACACAGGGTTCGACCATAGGCCGAGTGGCTGCCGAGCACTACTTTGAAGAAGTTCTTGAAGGCGCTCGTTCGATAGAGGCTCAGTGCTCGAAGAATATTATGTTCTAGTGACATGTATTCCCATTGTAAAAACAATGTTTTACTGAATTATCAAGGATGTATTTATACTTTTGCCCGAAAGTACTATGATGCCTGTTGTGCAGCCGTTTATGTATATATGTATATAACCTGAAAGTTTGCAGTCGTCGGCTCCGCCCCCATGCATATAATGCGGGGGTGTTCGCAGAAAATGTGTATCCACACTTGATCCAACGTCTTGGTCCATTAAGGAGGTGATAGCACAGCGAACGAGGCAATCAGACTATATTGCTTTAACACTTTCACTTAGCCATAGGAGTTTGACGGTGGGGCTACTATATAGCCCCTGGTACTTCTGCGCTCGTCTGAATACGAGGCGCGTACGTATATGACTAGGAAACGGCCCTTCGTTAATGCGGAGGAATCCCGAAGATTCCGATGAGTCATCGAGTGGTTGACCAGTCTCTCGCTATATCATGACAGTCGGTTTTCGGCTTTCTCTACTGAGGTGCTCATCTGGATGAACCGGGGCACAATCGCAGTAGTTCTCCCAGTGCTACCTTAGCCGATATAACGGAACGTAAGGTACCAAAACGTGGGAGCCGGGCAAACCCAACATGTGACCAAAGACATGATTCAGAGCTGATGCATATAGGGCCAAACTCGCGACGCCGAACACTTCCTAAGGTGTTCGGTCTTTATAACATATACCGGGCTAAACAATGCCCTTAATAAGAAACCCCATGTGTCCAGGTACGTGCAAAATCCTGACGTGGCCACATGCCAATAACGTTAGCATCCTTCTCGGTTGTGTGGAGTATCCGGAGGATGTGAGCAACAAGAGACAGTAAAAAAAGTTTACACAGGGTCTTAATCTAAAAAGAAACCTTTGGATGAGTCCCTGCTGCACGTCTGCGCCTGTGTCTCCGTTGTGCCGTGTCCTGTACGGGTGTAGCACAATTTTCATCTGCAAAAGGAAATAACTTAGGTGAAAGTTGCCATGCCAAAAAGAAGAATTGGTTATTATCAATGAACTATCAAAATTCAATAGAAGCCAAGTTGAGCCGGGCTGGCCCTGATTACACGCGAGACGCCCCTGGTATCGTTTATGAGGGTTTGATAATCAAACCAATCTCATGTATATATGATGGAACACCGGATTCGTTTGACCATGTCTGTGGTCTTGACGACCTGCCATTTTCCTGGTTGGTGAGGCCATCTAGTTTGCGGCTGCTAGAGCCGCCGCATCCTCTCCCGTACGTGGGAAATGTTCGGTATTTCCGCTAACTGAGATGATGCCATGTGGACCAGGCATCTTAAGCTTGAGAAAAGCATAATGCGGTATTGCGTTAAAACAAGCGAAAGCCGTTCTTCCGAGTAGTGCTTGATAGCCACTTCGGAATGGGGCGATGGGAAAAGTTAACCTTTCGATTCGGAAGTTATCAGGAGAACCGAATACCACCTCTAGTAGTTGAGAGCCCGTACAGCGGGCCTCTTGGTCTGGTAGTACTCCCTTGAAGGTAGTATTACTGTGGCTTATTTATGTCGGGTCTATCCCCATTTTGCGGACTGTGTCCTGATATATCAGATTTAGATCACTGCCGTCGTCCATGAGGACTCGTGTTAAATGGTACCCATTTATTATTGGGTCTAACAACAAGGCCGTTAGTCCTTCGTGCCGGATATTTGTCTCATGATCCCTACGATCAAAAGTGATCGGGTAGGCCAACCAGGGGTTGAACCTATGGGTGACGGGCTCTATGGCGCGTGTGCCTCGGAGTGCATGCTTGCTTCTCCTCTATGTCACATGGATCACGTTTACTGTTTTAACCTCTAGTGGGAAATTTTTCTGTCCACCGGCGCTTTGCTGGCGAGGCTCATCCTCGTCTTCACTTGGTGTCTCTTCCCCTTTGTGTTCGGCATTTAGCTTACCGGCCTGCTTGAAGACCCAACATTCTCTGTGGGTATGATTTGCAGGTTTGTCTGGGGTGCCGTGAATCTGACAGAGTTTGTCAAGAATTTTGTTTAGGCCAGATTGTCCTTCTCTGCTGCCTTTGAAAGGCTTTTTCCGCTGACCTGGTCGAGAGCCCCTGAATCCGGTGCTTACCACCGTGTTATCTGGGCTACCTTCTTTATTTCGACACTTGTTTTTGTAGCGTCGTGGTTTACCATTGCCATCCCTGACTTTGGATGTGCTTGGGTCGCTGGTGCTGCTACGGGCCAACCAGCTGTCCTCGCCCGCACAAAAGAGGGTCATGAGGCTTGTTAGGGCTGCCATTTTTCTCGGTTTTTCTTAACCGAGGTGTCTGGCGAGCCATTCGTCTCGGACGTTGTGTTTAAAAGCTGCTAAGGATTCGGCGTCCGTACAGCCGACGATTTGGTTCTTCTTGGTGAGGAACCTGTTCCAAAGCTTTCGGGCAGACTCTCCGGACTGTTGGATTATATGACTTAAATCGTCTGCATCCAGAGGTCGGACATAAGTCCCTTGAAAATTGGCCCGAAAAGCGTCCTCGAGCTCCTCCCAACTTCCAATTGAGTTTTCAGGGAGGCTTTTCAGCCAGTGCCAAGCTGGCCCTTTAAGCTTGAGGGGCAAGTATTTAATGGCATGGAGATCATCTCCACGAGCCATATGAATATGGAAGATGAAGTCCTCTATCCAGACTCCAGGGTCTGTGGTCCCATCGTATGCCTCTATGTTCACCGGTTTGAATCCCTCTGGGAATTCGTGATCTAGCACCTCATCGGTGAAACATAAGGGGTGTGTGGCACCCCTGTATTGGGATGCGCCATGGTGTTTGGACGGTTGTAGTATTTGGTGTTGGTTTTGTACCGTAGCGCGCTTCCTAGATCCATAGATGGATCTGGTCGCGCTGGATTTTTTATGCAAGTTCTCACATAGATCGTGTGTTGACTTATGCACGAATTTGTTAACCGGTCTATCGCGTTCACAAGGTGGTGGATCTGGCTGGTTGGCCGTATCACTCTTTGGCTGTATGGGATCTAAGGCCTCATCGTCGAATTCCGGTAATAGCTTGCGGTTTGGATAGCTATTTTTATGGTAACTCCCACCATACTTTGTTACTTTGTTCCACTTGCTGTTGAGCGTATCTTGTGCGACCTTGAGCCTTTGCTTCTGTTTCTTCAGGCTCCTCGCTGTGGCAATAAGCCTTCTGCGGAGGTTTTCTTGCTCCAAGTGCGTTTCCGGGATGATGTGTGCATCTTCGTCCGGACTGTTTTCTTCCCCAGACGGGGTTTGATGAGGCTTATCCTTGGCGTCGCCGTGTTCGGACGTCGGATCCGTACTATGTTTGCAGGTTGCATCTTGATCGTGGTCTGCCACCAGGGTGGTGCAGTCGTCGTTTCTTCTAGAGTCGACTAGACTGTTATTTCCTCTTGCGTTGTTACCGCTGTTTTTGCTATGGCGGGACTTAGAGTGGCGCCGCTGACGTCGGCGCCTGGGTTGCTTGGAGGGGGCATCCTCCGCTGTCTCTT